GAGAGAGAGGGCAAGAGGGGGAGAGATAGAGGGAGAGAGTGAAGGGGAGGAAGGGAGGGGGGGAGAGAGAGGGAGAGAGAGAGAGGGAGAGAAGGGGGGGGTGGGAGAGGGGGAGAGAGAGAGAGGGAATGAGAATGAGGGAGAGAGATAGAGAGAAAGAGGAGTGAGTGAGAGAGAGAAAGAAAATGTGTGAAGCTCAAGGCAAGCTCAACAAACATCATCTCAGCTTTTGTTGCAGCATCCTCCAGCCCTCTGGACACAACATCGAGTTCAACACCTTTGGACAATTCCTTGTGCCTGCACCTTGCTGTTTATTTTTCTCGTTTCACTGGGTCGGTCTTGTCTGGTTTCTTACCTCACGTTGTGTTCAGATGACTTTCCTGTTCTGACTGGACACATATTTATTTTCCCTTAGCTCTATCCATTAGCCATTTCTTTTGCTGTTGCAAATGTGAAATCTTGTGTTATTTAAATCCCTTGCCCTTTGCAGTTCTGACAAAAGATCACTCATGGTGGAACTGTAACGCTGTTTCTCTTCACAGACGCTGTCTAACCTGCTGCTTATTTCCAGCATTTTCTGTTTCTATAAAATACCGTGCTCCCAACAGGGAAATGGCTGTAGCTGACGTGGAGTTAGGCAGTGTGGACCAGTGCAGTTTGAAGGTAATATCTACAACCCTGGGAGGGTCGCATTTGAGGGACTCAGCCACTTCCACGTTTCTGAAACATGTTCAACCCCAGAGGTGGCACCTCAGAAACGCTGGCCATTCTGAGGAGCAGGAACCTTCGGGTAGTACTATAACTCTCCGAACAAATGGTCAAACCGGAGGGAACAAGACAAAACGTCAAAACATCCCAAAAGGGTTTGTGCAGCCACCTTGTCCAAAAACCAGACACAAAATCAATCCAAGCGGTTTACCCCAGACACCCCCGCTGCTCCCCCAACCCCCAATCCCCCCACACCACCGCACCCCGCCCCCCCCCACCCCTGCTCCCGAGCTTGGACTGTACCTGTCACATGATGCTGTAGCTCTTCAGGTTGAACATCACAATCATCTGCAACAGAACAGACCCACCATTAATAATGTGCTGCAAAAAACAAAACATACAAACGCACGTGAGGAGACATTGTTACGAGTGCCGTACATAACTTTGCATGGCAAATCTATTACCTGATACAGCCACACGTACAATCACATAGCACAGAAACAGAACCAGTTGGGCCCAAACAGTTCAAGCCAGTGACAGACCAGGTTCAATCCCAGCCCACACTTGGTTAGCTCATCCTGTCCCAAGTGTTGGTTAGAGAGCTCGAACTGGGCTCATCCTTTAGCTGGGGTAGCAGGAACTGCAGATGCTGGAGAATCCGAGACAACAAGGTGTAGAGCTGGATGAACCCAGCAGGCCAAGCAGCATCATAGGAGCAGGAAGGCTGACGTTTCGGGCCTAGACCCTTCTTCAGAAAAGGGGGCGGGGAAGGGGGCTTTGAAATAAATAGGGAGAGAGGGGGAGGCGGGTAGAAGATGGATAGAGGAGAAGATAGGTGGAGAGGAGACAGACAGGTCGAAGAGGCGGGGATGGAGCCAGTAAAGGTGAGTGTAGGTGGGGAGTTAGGGAGGGGATAGGTCAGTCCAGGGAGGACGGACAGGTCAAGGGGGTAGGATGAGGTTAGTAGGTAGGAGATGGGGGTGGGGCTTGAGGTGGGAGGAGGGGATAGGTGGGAGGAAGAACAGGTTAGGGAGCTCTTCTCTCCCTATTTATTTCAGAACCCCCTTCCCCTCCCCCATTTCTGATGAAGGGTCTAGGCCCGAAACGTCAGCCTTTCTGCTCCTATGATGCTGCTTGGCCTTCTCTAATCCTTTAGCTATTGAGTGATGTAGAGAACACTTTAAGGGTAAGATGTATTCCGACAGTCCCTTTGTTTACAGATTGGGGAAATTGCCTTGTTCTGCAATTGTCATGTTTATTGCCCAGGTACCCCTCAGGCCCAGGAATATATAAATCTTCACCTGAGCTCTTTAGTGACCTGGGCACTTCCACTGTCACCTTGACATCCTGCTTCTGGATTTTTCTGTGCACCAGTGGACTCGGACTTTTGTTGGTGCACTGGCCTCCAAGTTTACATGGAGCTCCACAGCCATTACTGGCCGGCCCCAAACCCCTTGCTCACCATTTCCTGTTTATATCACCTTCTTGAAACCAGCTCGCTTTTCCTGAACGCTGAGTGGGTCTGCAATACCCTCAGCAGCTGGGAGATGACACGTGGAGACACGTGGAGAGTTGCTGCCACAGGAAGCTGTGGACAGCGACAGGACCCAGAGCGTGGAGTGACTCTCCTGCCCTTCTCTGACAAAGAGCAGAAAGCCAGCAAAACGACAGAGATTAGCAAAGAGGGGATTAAAAGGGGAGACTCATTGACAGACCAACGAAGAGCTAATGCTGGTTGAAACTAACAGGCAAAAGCCAGGGTGTTAAATAGTCTCCGATCGCAGAAGGAAACCCTGATTGTAATCCACTCTAAAACACTCCACACTGTGGCTGTCTGTGTGTGCGCGTGAGAGATATGACACTGCTTGCTCCAACTGCACTGCACACACATACTGTTGGAAGGAAATCATGTTTTGTACTTAATGATTAAATTAACAACGTTCAACATCGAATCAGCGCTGGATGAGTTGGATCAGCCCATCAGACCCGTACTGACCCACTGAAGGAGCTATCCACTCACTGCCATTGCTTAGATTTCTCCATGTTTCATTTCAAATGCTTCTTCATCCAATATTTTATTGGCAGTATTTTGCTTCATAAAAACCTATCAGCACCCACAACTGCTCCTGATAAAATATTCTGAGTCCTAACAAGTTTAAAACAAAAACATTTTCTGAATTTGAGATAGTAGGAACTGCAGATGCTGGAGAATCTGAGACAACAAGGCGTAAGGCTGGATGAACACAGCAGGACAAGCAGCATCATAGGAGCAGGAAGGCTGACGTTTCAGGCCTAGACCCTTCTTCAGAATTTATTCTTTTTGCAAAGATCTTACATTGAGTATGTTTGTTGGGGTGAAACGGCATGCAAAATCAGAGCCTCGTTTACCACAGGAGATCAAGGTAAAGTGCTAGAAATCAGTGACATGTTAACCTCATGATGCTGGACAAGTGAGCTGCAATGTCAGATACTGATGACCAAGTTCAGCTTCTGTACGAAATGAAATTGTTTTTAACTAAAGCAGGGCTCTGTGGACCAGGCCCTCAGCACCCTTAGGTTATAAAAAAGAGAAGAAAAACTACATCCTCTCCCGATTTTGCTGCCCTGCCACATCAAAGCAAGAGCACATCAGGAGGGGACAAGACCATGATGCTCTCCATTGTCAAATAACTCTGCCCTCACTCATGGCCATGGATGACCTAGATGCATCACTGCCTTCAGGAGACCAGGGAGAGGGGAGTGCTCAAACACTGCAGCAAAATCAGACAATGTAGAAATAATCTACAACGCATCTGACCTGACAGACCTGAACATCCCTGCTCTCTCACTCCCAGTCTCCCACATTTCGCCTGTGCTCTGAGGAACAGCTAGGTCCTTCTACATTATGTACTCAATTGTGAATAAAGTCATCCACTTGCAAAATTGGCAAATCACGCTTTCCAAAAACAAGAATTTTATGCCTCAGTATTTTTTTTCCAAATGAATAAGCATTTTCACTTAAATGGAAGAGCACGACAAAAGCTTACTGACACCCAAAAGCTATTTCTTCTGGCCTTGAAGTGACTGCACAGTGATTTCCTTTCTTGATAACCTTGAGGTGAAGCCTGGCACAGACTGGAGTCAAGACCCAGCGCGAACTGGAGGCTAGGTACCGGTGTAGACTGCGTTAGAAGGACAGTTATTCCGAACTTCTTATTTCTTTATTTTTCCAATTTATTTGTATGATCTGTAATGCTGGACATTTTATTTCTTTATTTTTTAAAAAATTTCTTTTCCCCTTTAAGAATTTGTACTTAAGAATCTGAACCTCGGTACTTTTGTAGCCAAGATGGCGCTATAAGTGGCAACTTGTGAACTTTTCACTGCACTCATTTGAGTATGTGACAGTAATGCTAATTCTAATTTCTGTCAACTCATGGTGATGAAGACTGTGGCTCTCTAAGCTGCCCAGAGATTACCGGAACATGAAAATGAGACAAGATTGTTACTTGAAACATGGCTATCATCTATGAAGGGATGACCTAACAGAGATCACAGACTCATCTATTCTGTGCCGTTCTGCCACCAGACGGCCTACTCCCTCAGGCTCAGTTTCAAGTCTCTGTATAGGCCTCGTTGCTATGACAAAGGTCAAAGCAGAAAACTCTTCACCACACCTTCACAGAGAGAGGGGAAGAGCATAAAAACACAGAGGCAGTGGTCAATAATACCCGGTTATTACAAAATTAACTTAGAAATAAAATCACAGCTGAACTACATAAATTCCTACACAGCCCGATGTGGTTCAAAAACTCAGGTCGCCTCTGAGAATAACATAACCTTCTGGTGTACACAGATTCTGCCACTCCCAGCAGCAGTACTGGGGCCTTATTTACTTTGTCATTTTATTCTGACCTTAGAGCACTGCCTTCAACAGCAAAGTAAAAGCTTTACTGCAGTTTCCAAAACGTCAGAGCAGCTCTGGCAGCATATCTGAACGAGACCATTAAAATATTAGAAAACAAAAGGTCAGACACATTGGGCTCCTCAGTTGGCAGTGCCTTTGTGGGTAATACTGGGGACGGATGCGATGTATGTTACCTGACAACTCCAGCCAGAACGATGCACACGTTTGCAAGAACTGAGTGAAGAAGCTCCTTATCCACAACCTTCCATTCTCCACAAAGCTACAGCTTTTCATCAATATTTCTCGACCATTTCTCCCCTCACTTGCTCCCAAAATACACAGACACACAGCATAGAAACAGTCCCTTTGGCCCATCATACCTATGCTGACCAACCTTCACCAAACTACAGTAATCCTGTTTACCTGCACTTGGTCCATCGCCTACTATGCCATGGTATATTAAGGGCTCATTCTGATGTTTCTCAAATGTTGTGGGAGTACCTGCCTCCACCAACCTCTCAGGCAGCGCGTTCCATTTATCTACCTCCTCTGGGTGAAAAAGAAATTCCCTCAGATCTCCTCTAAAGCACTTACTCCTCACCTTAAATTTACGACCTCTGGTCTTAGACACATCTGCCATAGGGAAAAGATTCTCATAAAATCCAAACTCTTGCTAGGCTCGAGGATACACAGCGTTGTACATGTAGCACACAGTGTGGGCTAGCTGGCTATATGTCTGTGAGGGCCACGTATGAACATGACAACTTGCTACGCTGTTAGCATGAAGGTTAATGCCACCTGTGTCTGTAAGCGTAGCAAACTACAGGGCATTTTGGTCTCAGGTGATAAAGGAAAACCACCCCCTCTCTAACCAGAAGAGTCTCTTCAAGTTAATAAGATGTGGCTTGCTGCACATTAGTGACTTGTTCCAGGTTACATTGGTACGATGGAGATCTCATAAGCTAGGCCCTATCCTTCATTCAATTCCACTACGTTCAGTTAGCCCTGGGCCACCTTAAACCATTTCCAGGCAAGCGGGGATCTCTGTGCACCATTGGCAGAGTTAGCAAGATCATCCAGGCTACAGCTGTGGTGCAGCCCAAACAACATCTCACATTAGCAGTGAGTGTCCTCTTAAAAAAAAACACCAAAGATGCTTTAAAAAAGCTGATCTAGCCACTGGCAAGGCTATCACTTGGGCTTTGTGACCGTGTACATGCTGAAGTAATAAAAACTATGATTCAATTCACATTTGGTCCATTTGGAGATTCGTTGAAGGAGAATCGTTCATACATTTAAAAAAAAAAATCGCATTTATGCGATTAAATCAAGCATGACGTTGAAAAATTACATCAGCAATGTTGAATCCTGCATGGCCACGGAGCAGTTCCATCTTGCAGCTGGACAGAGATAGTAAGACACACACAGACAGATGAATATGTGCCTCGGGACTCTGTACTCA